GCATACGTTTCAAATTAGAAGAAAATCATATCAAAGTATCCAGTTCCGTGAATGGCAGTCAACACGAAAAATTTACAAAAAATCTGCCATTAGATGTCATTGCTCAAGATAAAAATAAAGCTCAAAAATGGGGCTACTTAGTCAGCGACTTTTTTGACATTTTACAACTAACCAAACGAACAAATAGACGAAAATTTTATAATGAGAATTTACGTAAATTAGCCGATAGATGGGGAAAACAAATATCGGACATGTTTGGGTATGATGCTATTACACCGTACATTCATATACTGGCGTCACATATTGCAGAGTTTTATCAAAAATATGATGATTTAAATAAATATTCATTACAAGGTGTTGAAAAGATGAATGATGTATTAACAATAGACTATTTTCGTTCGACAAATAAGAAAGGGAAGTATCTGAAACAGATAATTCGTAAAAGACTAATACAAATATTACTTACTGTCAAAAAATTCGATTTTAGAAGTATACTCTATCAATTAGAAAATGCAGAATTACAAGTGAAAAGTAATGACGATTCAATTGCCAGTGATGATGAAGATGAAGTTATTACGTACTTTAAGAAAAATTGGTATCGTATGGAAGAAGAATATGAGTTTGAAGATCTATAAATACTTACTATGCGTAATACATATCTACTCGCTATCTATAAACCACGTATATTTATCTCTATATTCGATTATACTACATAGTTTTAACCTAGTGGAAATTGTATTATATAAAATATAATTGATGAGTACAATAGGCCTCTAGCATTCATGTAGAGATATACATATATCTAAGAGACATTTGCTTCGCATTTGTCGTATTCTGTCTCTCTATAGAAAAGCGTAATTAAATAATTCTTTGAGTATCAGATTCGCAAGACTTTTTTCTACTCAAAAATGTGAAAAAGTACAAGATTTCGACAGTGGAACCTCGCAACGGACTGGATTAACGTCAAAATGCATGATGTTTGAACGGGAAAATAAACACGTTGACATTAATCGAGTCCGTTGCAGGATTCCGCTGTCGAAATCTTGTACTTTTTCACATTTTTGAGTAGAAAAAAGTCTTGCGAATCTGATACTCAAAGAA